GGAAGAGCCCTGCTGGATCAGACCCCTGAGGGTCCATCTAGTCTAGCATCCCGTCTCACGCAGGGGCCAGCCAGTTCCTCGGGGGAGGGGCCAGTGGACAGGGCAGGGAGGCCGAGGCCTTCCCCTAATGTGGTCTCCTGGCATGGAGATTCAGAATCTGTTGGCGTCGGGACAGGGCAGCTCCCTTTAGCTCAGCAAGGAGATTGCAAGTGTTGGACAAAGAGGGAGTCCTTCCTTCTCTGGGTCGCACACCCCTTCCCTCTCCCCCACAAGGTTTCCACGCGGTCCGTGGGTGAGAGGGAGTGGAGAAGAGGAACAAGGCGAGAGAAAGAGGGGCTGTTTCCCTCATTTCCCGCTCCCTTGGCCTCTTCTGCTTCCCAGTCCTGTATCTGGCCGCCCCTGGTGTCGTGGATGGAGCGCTGGACTTCAACCCCCCCACCCGCCATGGAAGTCCACTGGGTGATCTTGGGCCAGTCACACTTAGCCTAGCCCACCTCACAGGGTCGTTGTGAAGGTCAGTGCAGGAGAGGACAACGGAAGTCACTTTGGGTCCCCGACGAAGCAAACATATAACAAATGAATACATTTCGGGAACGGTGGAGGAGAGGGAGAAAGGCCTGGCAGTGGGGGCAAGGCATGCGCCTCAGAGGCGTAGATTGGGTCCTGGCGTTGCCGCAGTTCTCTTCCTTCCCAAGAGCAGCTAATGAGGGCTTAACCCGCTCCGTCTTGGCTGCAGTAGGAATTTCCTTCTTAAAAAAAAAAGGAATTTCCTCCTTTCCCCCTTTTTTAACAACTAGGGCTCTGGGAAATTGCTTAATCAAGCCTTCATCTAGACCGGAAGGTCGGTAGTTCGGCAGTTCGAGACCCGAGTGACAGAGTGAGCTCCCATCTCTGGCCCCAGCTCCCGCCAACCTAGCAGTTCGAAAGCAAGAAACTGCAAGTAGATAAATGGGTACCACTGCGGTGGGAAAGGAACAGCGTTCCACGCGCCTCAGCATTCAGTCATGCCGGCCACATGACCATGGAGAAGTCTTCGGACAGCGCTGGCTCTTCGGTTAGAACACAGAGATGAGCACCGCCCCCTAGAGTCGGATCCGACTGGCTTTCGAGCATGGGAGACCTTTACCTTAGCCTTTCGTTGCCTAGTTAAGCCCCCAGTACTGTCCATGTGATTGTGTGCAGCGGCCCAAAAGGAGAAGTAGTGCTGGTCTGAATCGTTTTCTCTTGCTCTGTCAGACGCCGGTCATCGCCCTAGTGGGGAACGATGCCTGCTGGAGCCAGATCTCCCGCGAGCAAGTCCCCATGCTGGGCAGCAACGTCGCCTGCAGTCTGGATTACCTCGGTAAGTGGACTGGTCTCGGTGGCATTCAGAGTTCTGCCTCGAATCGGGGGTCCCTGACCTTTTCCGAGCCCGTGGGCACCTTTGGCGTCCTGACACAGCGTGGGTGGGTATGGCCGCAGAACAGTTGCCACAGCTCCCCTTCATCACACTAAAGCAGTATTTTGAAAAAGATGTACAGCCAATCAGAAGCCTTGCCAGGCAAAAGCCCCACCCATAGAGATGTGAAGGCCCGGAAAAAACCCGGAAAAATTGGGGGGGGGCGCCATGTTGGGGAACCCCACCTTAAGCCCAGGCCACGTGTAGGTAATACAAAAACGGAGGCCTGATTATGGTGACGCCCTCAGTGTGCACTTCACAGCGTACAAGGATGTTCCTACCTGAGGAACTTCAAGTCTAAAGTTCGACATGGAGGTGAGGATAAACAGGGAAAGAATATTCGCTCATTCCTTGAGTGTTCGTAGCCGGTTTGGTGTAGTGGCCAGGAGCCGCGGACTCTAATCTGGGAGAACCGGGTTTGATTCCCCACTCCTCCACATGCAGCTACTGGCGTGACCTCGGGTCAGTCACAAGTTCTCTCAGAGCTGCTCTCTCAGGAGCAGTTCTCTCGGCCCCACCTACCTCACAGGGTGTCCGGTGTGGGGCAGGGATAGGGAGATTGTCAGCCACTCTGAGACACCTCTGGGTAGTGAGGGCGGGGTATAAATCCAATCTCTTTTCTTCATCTCTCTCTTATCAATATTGGTGGTGAAGGGGGGACTAAGCACCTGCCAGTGACCTCACTGAAACGAGTGAGTCTGAGGAGGGACCTGAAACAGAGAGATGGCGCCACACAGCGCTGCTGGGAGGCAGGCCCAAGCATAAGAAGAAGAGGAGATTGGATTTATTCCCCGCCCTTCACTCGGAGTCTCAGAGCGGCTGACAAACTCCTTTCCCTTCCCCTCCCCACAACAGACACCCTGGGAGGCGGGGCTGAGAGCGCTCTGACAAAAGCTGCCCTTTCAAGGACGGCTCTGAGAGAACTTGTGACAAACCCAAGGTCATCCAGCAGGTGCAAGTGGAGGAGTGGGGAATCAAAGCCGGTTCTCCCAGATTAGAGTCCGCGTACTTAACCACTAGACCAAACTGGCAGTAGTCAAGCTGATTGCAGTGCACATTGGTGACCTTTGCAGCCCGACTCCTCCCTCTTTGCCACGCCCCCTTGCACCTTCTGACTGGGATATGAGGGTTCGGGGACCTCCATTCCGACTTGTATCTGAGGAAGGGGGCTCTGGCCCTTGGAAGCGCATACCGCCCCCTAAATACTTTGTCGGTCTCTGAGGGGCCGCAGGACATGAATCCCGCCGTTTTACTGCAGCCCAGCTGGGTCGCCAACCCCCAGGTGGTGGCTGGAGACCTCCGGGTCTTTCAGCTGATTTCCAGACGACAGAGATCTGTTCGCCTGGAGAATATGGCCGCTTTGGAGGAGGGACCCTGTGGCATGATATCCCGTCGAAGTCTCTCTCCTCCCCAAACCCCCAACCTCTACAGACTCCAACCCCCCCCACCTCTTCAGGTGTTCCCCAACCCAGAGCTGACAACGCCGCAACACGGCTAAGCTCCTGTCAGCTGACTCGCCGTCTTCTCCGCAGATTACCACGTGGTGGCTGAAGGCCTAGGCGGGAAAGGCCTCCTCCTCTCCCACCAGAACGAGGAGCAAATGGACGACGTCATCAGGGCCGCGCAGGCCGAGTGCCGGGGCGGGCGGCCCACCCTCATCAACGCCCTCATTGGGAAGACGACCTTCCGCAACGGATCCATTGCCGTCTAGAGGCGGAGCCGGGCCCACGGAATGCGAGGAGCCGGCTCCATGGCAGGGCTCCCGCCGCGGGAGAGTGTACCCCTGCCGGATCGCTCCCGGGCAAGCAGGTGGGCCGACGGAAAGGCCCGGCGTTTGGGCTGCCAGGAACTCCTTGCCTCAACAGTTCCTCCCCCGGTCCTTTCCCGCGAGCATCAGTCTGCCTTAACTTTTTTCGTCCTTCGGTCCCACCGGAGCTTTCGTGTGCCGCCTGCCCCTCTCTCCGGGGGGTGTTGTCCAGGGCGGTCATAGAACTAACCCGTTTCTTGAGTTGCCGCTGGGGGTCTGCTTGGGTGGCGGTTCTCTTCCACGCCTCAGCAGAGCAACTCTCCCGGAGAAGGTGATTACACCCCCCGCCCCCCCAGCCTGCCTACCGGGCACGTATGTGCTCACCTGAGCAGTCGGCACTGAGAGGGCCTTGTGGCTGCGTGGACCACGACGGTAGGTAAGGCTTGGTGGAAAAGGCTCCAAAATAAAGCTGAGCTGTTGACTATGCAGTTGTCATTCTTCTCCATCCTGGCCTCCCCGCTCCCCTCCTTCCCGCCCGAAGTGTCCTCCGGCCCTCCCAACCCAGGGGGAGCGTCCTTAATATTCCTGCAGATGGGTCCGACTTGCCTGCGTTCCTTCAGTAATGCTGGTTACAACTGACCCTGGATCAGCTGTTCAACTGATTTTGCGGCTTGGGCGGCAGATTTTTTTCTGGTGGGGCTGAAGTTCTCAGTGCAGAAAGAAAAGCCATTTAGCCAATAGAGAGCTGTTACCAGGATAGATCTCTCAATTGCAAGCTGTCAGCCACTATAGATGGTAGTTCTCAGCTGCTGCAGGTTAATCCCTTCTGCCAGCCTAAGCAACAGTTCTGCTAACAAGCCGGCAAGTGGGGCTAGTCAAGAAAGCTAACTCTTAGGCAGAGAAACTTGCTTAAAGGACCCTGAGTTAGAAGGGATGCTAGAGGTCACCTACTCCAACCCCCTTGCTCTGTGCGGGAATTAGTCAACTACAGCACCCCACTCTGCTTAAAGGAGCGCACGCCTTTAAAAAAATGTTTTAAAATGATTGGGGGGAAAGCGTTTACAAGAGACATTCTTGTGGAGCTGTGCCTTTAAGAAAGGGGGCAGATCCTACTGTAGCTATGGTCCTGTCAGACAGAATAGTTAAAATAGTGGTCTAGGGCCTTGGAGACCCAGGTTCGAATCCCAGTTCTGCCATGGAAGGCTGCTGGGTGACCTTGGGCCACTCACATATTCTCAGCCTTACCTACCTCACCAGATTGTGGTGAGAGAGTTTTGGACTAGGATCTTCCACTCTGCCTTGGAAGCTTGCTGGGTGACCTTGGGCCACTCACACCCTCTCTGCCTAGCCTACCTCGCAGGGGTGTTAGGTGAAACAGAGAACAGTTCTCGGAACTACTTCAGACCCCCCCCCCCCCCATTACAGAGAAAAGTGTATGTGGGGTTATCTCTTAAGAAAATACCTTCCATGTGAATGAGCTCCCCTCCCCAACGGAACTCAAGTCACAGCTGAGTACAGGAAAGAAATCTCTCCTCTGCCATCTCGCACTCGTATCCTAGCAGGAGCCGCTGCCTTAGGTTTCGGTACATGGGTAGAAGGGAATGTGCTCAGAAACCCGGATTTAGGCCACTCCGCTCTGTTGGTTTTAGGAACGTTTTTCACAAACGAGTGGGCTCTCGTGCAAGAGCGGAATTAAATGGAAACTGTGGCTTTGCAGAAGGATCAGAGTACGGTTGACAGAAGCCACAGCAGAAGTACGGGGGCCCCATGTTTGTTTATCGCCCCCGCTGCTCCCTCTAGGCAGTGCTGCTAATAGCGCGACACCATAGAGACCCACAGGATTTTGGGGGGGATGAGCTTTCGACAGTCAAAACCCCCTTCGTCAGATAGAGAGCTTTGGCCCTCGGAAGCCCATACCCCGAAAACTGTGTTGGTCTCAAAGGAGCTACCGGACTTGGCAGTGTTCAGCGTGAGCTAGCTCACAGTTTTTCAGCCTCCGGCTCACGCCCTTTTGGCTTAGCCCAGGAAGGAGGGCTCCAGAGCAAACTAACCGATGCCGTAGCCAAATCGCTGGCTCACCACTTTAATGCCAGTCGCTCGCAAAGCAGGAATTCTGCTCACAAGACTCCGCAGCTTAGAGGGAGCAAATTGGATCTTAGCCGTCCTACCGCAGACCAGAAAAGTGTATGTGGGGTTATCTCTTAAGAAAATACCTTCCATGTGAATGAGCTCCCCTCCCCAACGGAACTCAAGTCACAGCTGAGTACAGGAAAGAAATCTCTCCTCTGCCATCTCGCACTCGTATCCTAGCAGGAGCCGCTGCCTTAGGTTTCGGTACATGGGGAGAAGTGAATGTGCTAGAAACCCGGATTTAGGCCACTCCGCTCTGTTGGTTTTAGGAACGTTTTTCACAAACGAGTGGGCTCTCGTGCAAGAGCGGAATTAAATGGAAACTGTGGCTTTGCAGAAGGATCAGAGTACGGTTGACAGAAGCCACAGCAGAAGTGCAGGGCCCCCATGTTTGTTTATAGCCCCCGCTGCTCCCTCTAGGCAGTTCTGCTAGAGACCCACAAGATTTTGGGGGGGATGAGCTTTCGACAGTCAAAACCCCCTTCATCAGATAGAGAGCTTTGGCCCTTGGAAGCCCATACCCCGAAAACTGTGTTGGTCTCAAAGGAGCTACCGGACTTGGCAGTGTTCAGCGTGAGCTAGCTCACAGTTTTTCAGCCTCCGGCTCACGCCCTTTTGGCTTAGCCCAGGAAGGAGGGCTCCAGAGCAAACTAACCGATGCCGTAGCCAAATCGCTGGCTCACCACTTTAATGCCAGTCGCTCGCAAAGCAGGAATTCTGCTCACAAGACTCCGCAGCTTAGAGGGAGCAAATTGGATCTTAGCCGTCCTACCGCAGACCAAGATGGCTGCTCTCTGCAACGATCTGGATGCAGCATGGATCATGTGTTTTGACTAGGACCTGGGAAGTTCGGGTTCGAATGCCCACTCGGGCCACGGAAACTTCCTGGGTGACCTTGGGCTCGTCACATGACTCTCAGTCTAGCCCTGACTTGGATCGCTGTGGGATAGGCCGGTCGCGTCAGATCTCAGAAGCGATGCAGGGCCAACATAGAGACAGACAATGGGAAAACCACCTTCAAACTTCTCTTGCCTTGAAAAAACCCTATAGGGTCACCATAAGTCGGCTGTGACTTGACAGCAGCGTGTGTGTGTGTGTGTGTGTGTGTGTGTGTGTGTGTATTCCATCACACCATTCGTATTCTGATTAGGCACCTGGGAGGGCTTCTGTTCGCTGTTTTGAAGACCAAGAGCTGAACATCCTAAACACGTACGAGGCATTTTTGAGAGCTAGGAGTCGGCCTTTGTGCTAACTTCTACAAGCTAACACAAGCCAAAGCATCGCAAAATAGTGATTGCAAGCTTCACCAGCCTGGATGTTGAGAAACACGCTAATGCCCCAAAGAAGGTGCCCCCGTCCCCTATTGTTTCCAAAGGAATAAAATCAAACTAGAGATTCTCTGCGGTAGAAACTGAAAGGGGAGGGGATTTTTGCAAGCTGAGTGGTACCAGTACAATCACAGAGTGCCCAGCAGAACACCCTGCCATTGTGGCAATGTCAGCTGAGGTCAAGCACAGAAACACATTCCAAGCAGGGGAGGCGAGTTGGAAGCCCAGCAGGACCATGGCAATGTACAGTGCCCAGCAGAACCCAGTGCCTTCTGTTGATATTAACAAAGGTTTGCTGCTACTACTCTTAAATACATTCTGTCACCAAGCAGGATAGGAGTGAGAAGATCTTGAGACCAAGATGTGAAAATAAAGGGAAGGGGGTACATGGAAAAGTTAGGTGAAGGGAGACAAAAATGAATGAGAAAAGTGTGGGCAAGAGGGAGAGAAATGAACAGAGGGAAAGGTGGCTTCCTCTCACTGCAACACCCTAATGACTGGCGTTGCAAGATCTGGCTGAGCTGGGTGCAAGGAAAGGGAGAGAGAAAGGCTAGACTATAGGAGAAAATGACCTGCAGGCTGGCAATTACTGTAGCAGCGATCAGCTTGCTGGCTTGGTTTTCAGCAAGTTTGCTTCAGGCTTGGAGAAAGGGACGTCTAGCTGATCTGACAGTGCTTTTTGCTCTGCTTAGACCGCCCCGTGCTCCTAAGTGGCTGCAGCCAGAACTACATTTTAAAAATGAAAGATGTTCACTGGCTAGCTGACCCAGAGGCTAGGTGTTCCTTCCAGGCACGGGTGCTAAGGAAGAATCCAGGGGCAGTGGTTTGGGTAATAATCCAAGGATCCAGAAGGAAGAGGAGGTGGAGCCGGACCCAGAGAAGGCAGCTGACACTGAGTTGGAAAGTGGAGGGGTGGGGGAGCTGTGGTAACAGACCAGGGTTGGGGTTTTTTGCAGGGGAAAATGTCTGAAACAAGCCTTGGGGTTGGCTTGGAGTGGTTAGGAGGTCTGTTTGGGAGGGCTTTTCAAGGCTGGGGGCTTTGTGAGTAGGGAGAGGCAGTGGGAGAGACGAGGAAGAATCTGGAATACTTTTCTTTATAGAATCATAGAATGTCAGAGTGGGAAGGGACCTTGCAGGTCATCTAGTCCAACCCCCTGCACTCTGCAGGCGCATAGCCGAAAGACCCTACAACATACCCGAAAGATGGTCGTCTAGCCTCCGCTTGAAAATGTCCAGCGAAGGAGCATCCACCACCTCCCGAGGCAGTCTGTCCCACTGCTCAACGGGGCCACTCTGACAGTTAGGAAGTTTCTCCTGGAATTTAGCTGGTAACGCCTCCCTTGGAATTTCCACTTTGGTAAACTTTGGTTTCAAGTTCAGGTCTTTTCTGTTAGGGTTAGACTGTGATGGGGGACAGGGCACACTGCACTTTGGCTGGCCCGGAACGTTTTCAGAATATAACAGCCCACCTCGCCTATAGGAGTTGTGTCTCGAATTAAACTTCGTTGGCCTTCAAGGTGGCCCCCGACTCAGCCTTTGTTCAGCTACCTGCAGGCACCTGAAAGCTTAATACCCAAGATTTTAAACTTGGCTGGTCTTCAAGGTGCCCCGGCCTGGCTGGACTCAAACTCTGCTCTTCTCCTTTCCATGGACTCCGTAAAAGGCCGCGCCGCCCAAGGCGAGCAATAGGCGGCCAGCGGCAGAAACCACCTCTCCAACCCGTCCCCCCCACCACCCCCTATAGGTGGAAAGCCTGAACACCAGGCTCTGAAGTCATCCAATGTAGTCATAACATTCCCTGAACTCTGCAGTTGCCAGCTACTGTCACAAGTGTTTCAACTTGCAGTTTCTCCTGTACTCAACAAGATATTCTCTTGATTCTTTCACTGCAGTATTCCAGACACTTCACACTAGCTTACAGTGTTACTGAGTTCAGTTTCCCTTGCATATTTGAGTGCATGTTTCATCTAATTTACAAGCATATAATATTGGAGAGGGGTGGATGCCTGTAGGGGGTGGTGCCCCGGCTCCACCGAAGAGCCTTGAGGAATCCCCCGGCCTGGAGTTGGCAGTGCCATCCCCAGACGGCGCTCGGTACGGCTCCTCGCCTCTCTGGACGGCCGGGCCCAGCGTAGAGGACCGCCCCTTCCAGGGGGGCCAGCCAGCCAGCCAGCCAGCCAGCGAGAGGCCGGGCCGGCCGGAGGAGCGAGAGGAGAGCAGAGCGGGGCGCGTCCCCGTCCCCGTCCCCCGGTCGGCCATGGCGCAGCCCCTGCTCCGCAAGACTTTCTCCCGGCTGCGCCGCAAGGAGAGCCGCGGCTGCCCGAAGGCGCGGCGGCGCAAGGAGCGAGGTAGCCGTCGGGGGGTCGCGGGGAGGAAGGGGGGGCGCCTTTCCGCTCCGAACGCGCAGCAGCCGCCGAGCCCTCCTTTCCCAGCCGCGCTGGAGCCGGAGTGTGTGTGTGTGTGTGTGTGCCAGGCCCCGCTGGGGCTCCGGTTGCCAACTCTGGTTCTATTCCTGGAGATCTGAGGAGCTGAAGCCCGGGGAGGGTTGGGATTCGGAGCAAGGCTCCCTCTAAGCTGCGGAGTCTTGTGAGCAAAAACTCTCTTTTGTGAGCTCCTGGTACTAAAGCTGTGCGCGAACGATTTGGCTGGCTGCGTAAATTAGTTTGCTCTAGACTAGAGCGACCTCCTTCGTGAGCGAAGACAACAATGTGTGAGCCGGAGGCTAGAAAACTGTGAGCTGGCTCGCACTCACTCGGCCTAGAGGGAGCACCTGTTTTGAGGCAGGGGAGCAGTGCTCCCTCTAAGCTGCGGAGTCCCGTGAGCAAAAAGTCTACTTCGTGAGCTCCTGGGATTAAGGTGGTGAGCCAGCGATTTGGCTGGTGCGTGAATCAGTTTGCTCTGGAGTCCTCCTTCCTGTGCTAAGACATAGACGTGTGAGCTGGAGGCTAAAAAACTGTGAGCTGGCCCACACTAACTCAGCTTAGAGGGAGCACTGCCTGCAATGCTCCCTCTAAGCTGCGGAGTCTTGTGAGCAAAATCCTACTTGGTTAGCTCCTGGCATTAAAGTGGTGAGCAAGGGATTTGGCTGCTGCATGAATTAGTTTGCTCTAGAGCCATCCTTCCTGCGCTAAGACATAGACGTGTGAGCTGAAGGCTAAAAAACTGTGAGCTGGCTCACACTCACTCAGATTAGAGGGAACACGGGTTTGGAGAGGGGAGGGACCTCGACGAGGCCAAAAGGCGCAGAGCCCACCCTCCAAAGCAGCCACTTTCTCCAGGGAAACTGATCTCTGTAGAATTGTAAGAGCGGGAGGTCTCCAGAGCCTGCCTGGAGGTTGGCAACCCTAGCTGGGGGCAGCCACTGCTGCTGGCCCTTGAAGTGCACAGCTCCAGCCTGGACGTTTATTCAATTAATAGGATTATTCAATAGAAAAGGCAGAAAAAACGGTTTCAGAGCCAGGGTGGTGCAGAGGTTAGAGCAGTGGTGGTGAACCTATGGCACGGGTGCCAGCGGTGGCACTCAGAGCCCTCTCTGTGGGCACGTGTGCCATCACCCCAGCCAGGCCCAGACCATCATTACAGTGTCGAATTCTCTGCCAAATAATTTTAAGTAAATGAAAGCATTTGGGATTGCTTCCCTTACTTTGTTTGGATCATCTTAAGTTAATGTATGAGTTGTTTGTTCTAAAGTAAAACCTCAGTATTCAGGTTAAATTGCCGTGTTGGCACTTTGCAATCAATAAGTGGGTTTTGGGTCGTAGTTTGGACAGTCGTGCCATAGGTTCGCCACCACTGTTCTAGGGAGAGGTCAGCTTCGATTTGATCTGGAGTCAGAGGGGGTGGAGTATGTATGGATTGGCAAAGAGTTTGGGAAGATTGCTCAGGATCTTTGCCGGCAGGGAGGGAAGGCGTGTACCCCCCTCCCAAGACCCGATTTTCAGCCGTACAACTGAAGAAGATTGCTTTGAAACGCCTGGCATACCCGAGAAGGCCGTTTTCGGCTGTTGGAAGTTTATTTGTGCTTTGGGACGTCCTCTGCCTTTTTTGCGGACTTTGAGGTCTTTTGGACACTATTACATTCAAAGGATGTAGAGGAGTCTCTGGTTGGATATTTTCCACTGTCATCAAATTGTATCTTGAATTTGCAAAAAGTGTTTTTGAATGATGACCACCAATTCTATTGCATCTTCAGTTTATTGTTATTGTATTGCAATAGGCTGACGTCGACTGTTCACTTGTAAAAGTTGTGTATCTTTTGACGGTGTACCCTTGCGGTTTATATTTTTGCATACTACGTGCGCTTGGGGTCCCTATTTTTTGGCTCAGTGCATAGAGAGGGATGAGTCGCATAATTGCCGGGTTTCAAGAGCTACAATAATCTACTCACAGTAGAAAAGAGCAAGAGTCCAGGAGCCACCTTAAAGACTAACAACATTTGTGGCAGGCAGGTTGTGAGTTTTTGTGGGTCGCTGCTCACTTCTTCACATAATCCACTCGAACAGCCTGTAGATGCCTGAGGCCCAGTAGACATAATCTTTTGTTCTTTGGCCCCATTGACCCACAAGGAATGTTTCAGTAAATATAGACTTGTGGCGGAAGAGCGATCCTGCATGCGGTGCAGGTCCAGTTGTGGCTGTGTGAATCGGCCGTCAAGGAATAAAAGCCCGGGAGACTTCAGGTGTCTCTCTCCGATCATTCCTTGGTGCACAAAATGGCACCGAAAAGACCCATCGCTTCAGTCCCTCTTCCGTATTTCTGCCCTCGTTCATGTGGACTGAGTGTCACGAGGACTGGAGATGTACGCTGTCCATTTTGAAATATGTTTTCTTTTAGAATGTACATACTTTAGCATTTCTCGCGAGGATGCTTCTAATCTGAACGGCCTGGGCTGAAGTGAACTGTGACTCATGGAACGTTCGTGCTGGAATGAAGGTCGGTTCTGGTGGGTTGCTGTGCTGGTCTGAAGCAACAGTTTGAGTCCAGTGGCGCCTCTGGGCAGTGTTCCCTCTAAGCTGAGTGAGTGTGAGCCAGCTCACAGTTTTTTAGCTTCCAGCGCACACATCTTTGTCTTAGCTCAGGAAGGAGGGCTCTGGAGCAAACTCATTTATGCAGCAGCCAAATGGCTCGCTCACAACGTTAATGCCAGCAGCTCACAAAGTAGAATTTTTGCTCACAAGATCCCACAGCTGATACCTGAATAAAGGCTGTGTCTGGTGGCACCTTGAAGACCAGCCAAGTTTAATTCTGGGTATAAGCTTTTATGTGCATGCACACTGCTTCATATAGCTGAACAAAAGCTTGAGTCCAGAGGCACCTTGAAGACCAATAAAGTTTTATCCTGGGTACGAGCTTTCGTGTGTGCACGCACACTCCTTGAGCTACCTGAACAAATTCTGAGTCCAGGGTCACCTTTAAGGCCAACCAAGTTTTATTCTGGGTGTAAACATTCATGTGCGTGCACACAAAAATGAAACTTCTGTGCAGACGAACGCTTATCGCCAGAATTAAACTTTTGTCAGTCTTGAAAGGTGCCAACGGGGATCAGATTTTGGAGTGGAGGCTGTTTGTGTCCAAGGGGCTCCGGAGCTCCTGTGTTATTCTGAGCTGAGTCATGTTAGGGGGACAGGAGTGTTGTGGTGTCCCGCCTCGCCTCAGCTGGCCGTCCTGGGATTTGCCTCTCCATTCCTGAGATGCAAAGGGAGGGGGGGGGAGCTGTGCTTGTGCTGAGCGCCTGGGGACTGTCTTACAAAGGGAGCTGTGTGTCTTGGCCGGAGACGGGGCTGTGCAGTAAACAGCAGGAAATCCAATTTGGCACCAGGACGGAGCAGCTGGAAGCTTTGGGGAGGCACTTCCTGGCCCCAGCTGTGTTGCAGGCCCTGGCTCTGCATGTCCCCAGGCCGCGCCGGGCTCTGATTGGCCATGGCCCCTGCAAGACATTTTTTTTTTGGTCCTTTCCCTCCCCTTCCCTTGGAGACAGTCTTTGGCAAAGGCCCCCGCAGGCGGCTTAGCGTTCGGCGTGTTTGCATTCCGGGGAGATCGGCAGGGCTCAGCCTCCTTGGCCTCAGCCGCAGATTCTGTTGTCAGGGCCGGAAAGCCATACGAATGAAAGGACGAAGATGGAAAAGCAGATGTCAGACGTTTGCATGCATCTCTTGGCGGTGGGAAGGCCTTCTTCGGTTTAGATCGGCTGTAAATGGACGAGGGTGGCCAGAAAATCACGTTATGTTTTGCTAAAGAAGGACCCCCGAGTGTTAATGCTGGCAGTGATAAAGTTTGGTGTAGTGGTTTTGTGCGCGGACTCTAATCTAGGAGAACCGGGTTTGATCCCCCACTCATCGAATTGCACCTGGCTGGATGACCTTGGGCAAGCACAGTTTCTGTCACAGCTGTTCTCTCAAGGGCAGTTTCTGTCAGAGCTCTCACAGCCCCACCTACCTCACAGGGTGTCTGTTGTGGGGAGGGAAAGGAGGTTGCAAGCCGCTCTGAGACTCCGAGTGAAGGGCGGGGTATAAATCCGATCTCCTCCCCCCCCCGCCCCCCCAGTAACCCCCCAGAATTACAGCTCCTCTCCAGACTACAGAGATCAGTTCCCCTGGAGAAAATGGATGCTTTGGAGGGTGGACTCTAGAGAATTGCACCCCACTCAGGTCCCTGGCCTCCCCAGGTTCTACCCCCAAATCTCCAGGAGGTTTCTCAGTCTGGAGCTAGCAATCCTACCCCCCCCACACACACACACGTGGCCAGTGGCAGGGGGGACCTAGCAGTCCTCTTTCAGAGGGTAGCCACGTTGTCGGTCTCGTGCGCTGGATTGGTTTGAATCATTCCTCACAGATCGGACCCCAAAGAATTGCCTCTGGAGACAGGTTATCCGTGTGGGACCTGTCCTGTGTGGGGCTGTCCTGTGGAGACACGCTTTTCAGTGTCTACGTAAAGCCTTTATTCGTAGTTCGGGGTGGTGGTGGTGGTGGCGGCGGAAAGCACCGTCAAGTCACAGCGGACTTATGGCGACCCGGTAGAGCTTTCAAGGCAAGAGAGTCTCAGGGGTGGTTTGCTGTGGCCTGTCTCAGCGTCACGAGGCTGGTATCTCGTAGTGGCCTGAAATGTGGAATTCAGTGCCAGAGGGTATAGTGATGGCCGCATGACTGAACAGCTTTTCAAAGGGGAGTAGATAGATTCCTGGAGGATAAGCACATCAGTGGCTACTAGCCGTGGTGACTGAGGGGAACCTCCACATTCAGAGGTGTTGAACCTCTGAAGTCCAGGGCCAGGAGGCAACATCTGGGGAAGGCCTCGGCCTCTCTGCCCTGTGGCTGGCTGTCCGGAGGAACTGGCTGGCCCCTGTGTGAGACAGGAGGCTGGACCAGGTGGACCCTCCCTGGTCTGACCCAGCAGGGCTCTTCCCCTGTTCTTATCCACAAATGGGCTACTTGGTCACTGAGTCCTTTGAGGAAGAAGAGGCCATGTTTGACCTATCTCTTTGTTATTAAGGCTTTGCGAATGTTTAATCAGCTCTGACCTAGATGGACCAGGCCAGCCCGATCTCCCAGCCCTGGTTAGTGCTTGGATGGGAGACCACCAAGGAAGTCCAGGGTTGCTGTGCAGAGGCAGGCAAGGGCCAACCACCTCTGTTTGTCTCTTGCCCTGACCTGAATGGCCCAGGCTAGCCTGATCTCTGCAGCCAGGCTATTGATGGGGCTCTCTAGAAGGGACCACATTCGGCCTGCGCTGAAAGCGCTGCACTGGCTGCCGATAGCGTACCGGATCCGCTTCAAAGTGCTGGTTCTTACCTATAAAGCCCTATATGGCCAGGGTCCAGCCTACCTGAGGGACCGCCTTTCCCCACACGTTCCCCCAAGAGCACTACGGTCAGGGGCCCAAAATTTGTTGGTCATCCCGGGCCCTAAGGACACCAAACTAGCTGCGACCAGGGCCAGAGCTTTTTCGGTGGAATTAGCTCCCGGGGGAGATCCGGGCCCTGCGGAACCTTATGCAGTTCCGCAGGGCCTGCAAGACGGAGCTCTTCCGCCAGGCCTTTGAGTAGGAGCCGCCGCCCTTACTTATACCACCACCGTCATGGTTTGACGAGGCCCTGAAGAAGTACCTGGAAATTGCAAAGATCGTGTAAGCCATTCTCCAGTGGACGTGAACAGCATGGGAAGTACCACCTGGAACTGTGTTGATTCCATCTTTGGACTTATGATATCAGACATTGATGGAGCACCGTTGTTTTTAAATATTGATGTTTTATTATGTATGATATGTTTTAAGTTACATTATATATTATGTTTTAATTATGGCATGGTTATTACCTTGCCCTTGTTAGCCGCCCTGAGCCCATTGGGGAGGGCGGGATACAAATATGAAAAATAAATAAATAAATAAATCTTGTCAGATCTCAGAAGCTAAGCAGTGTCGGCCCTGGTCAGGATTTGGATGAGAGACCACCAGGGAAGTCCAGGGTGGATACGCAGAGGCAGGCAATGGCAAACTACCTCTGTCCGTCTCTTGCCTTGAAAACCCCATGGAGGGTCGCCATTCGTCAGTTGTTACCTGACAGCACATCCCACCACAAATGTTCAATCTAACTGCTTTGATTCTCTTCTCTTGAACCCACACAAAGGGGACAGTTCAACATGCTGGGTTTTTTTGCTCTCCCCCCAGATTGTCCTTTGGAGTCCCCCGGTGCCTCGGAGTCCCTCACCGCATCTCTCCCATCGGACGACGGAGGCAGGAAAGCTCCCGCTGTGACTGTGTCCCAGAAGCAAAACTGGGCCAAGTTCGAGTCGGGAGTCCGGGAGGATTCCTACAGCACGAAGCCTGGCTTCTCACGTCTGCCGCAGGGACTGGTGGTGCAGGATGGGATGCCGTCTCCGGAGAGCCTTCCCTTCCCTGGCGTGGCGGCCGCTGGGCCCGAGGAGGCCGCTGAGACTCTGACGGGCCCTGTGGAGGGTTGCGGCTCCACCGTCAGCGTCAAGTGCAGCAGCCGGGGTGCTTACTTGCAGAGCCTGGAGAGGAGCAGCCGGGAGTGGGTGCTCTCCTCGGGGAAAGCCCCGGGGGCGGAGGAGCCAGCCGCCGGCTCCAGCCCCGAGCTCAAGGAATCCATGGCGGTCTGCAGTAGCGAGGGGGAGATCTGGTACAACCCCATCCCGGAGGATGAGGACCTGCGGCCCCCCTGTCCCGGAAGGACAAAGGGCAGCGGGGCAGGGAACAAGGAGGCCAGGCACAAGAAGCCCAGAGAGGCCGAAGGTGGGCAGGAGCGGGCCTCTGCTGGGGGCTCACCGCCATCCTCGCCAGGCCGACAGAAGCCAGCGACGCCCGCTGAGGAGTCGAGTGGTCATCAGCACCAGGCCTGTGGTGAGGACTGGTTTTTCTTTTAATAATAGTTTATTTTATTTTATCACAACTCAACATACAAAACAAACAAAGACAAAGAAACAAATATTACATACAAACTGGGGTTCTTCTGAATCTCTGTAATAATAATCTGTTCAATTACTTCTTACAGTATCCAGTTGGTTATTAAAATGTATACCATAAAGCAAAAAAATCTTTTATCCATCAAGTCTGCATATATTTGTAGATAATATCCATAATATCTGTAATATATGTGATAGAGTTGTATAGTTCATTTGTTGTAATCTTCCAACCAAATATGAAATCTCAACCATGTATTGTGAAATTTTTCTTCTTGTCCTCTCAAAAATAAGGTTAATTTGTCCATCTCTGCTGTTTCCAAAATTTTACTTATAATTTCTTCTTGTGAAGGTATTTCATCTTTTCTCCAATATTTGGCATCAGAGGGGGATGTAAGGAGTCAGGGATCTCCATTCTGGCTTGTATCCGAGGAAGGGAGCTTTGACTCCTGGAAGCAGATTCCCTGAAAATCGTTTCGGCCCCTTGAGAGCCAGTTTGGTGTAGTGGTTAAAAGTGCAGACTCTAATCTGAGAGAACCGGGTTTGATTTCCCATCTCCTCCACATGCAGCTGCTAGTGTGACCTTGGGTCAGTCACAAGTTCTCTCAGAGCTGTTCTTTCAAGGACAGTCCTCGAGAGAGCTCTGAAGGTGGGGAGGGGGTTGCCAAGAAGGGAGTCAGGATGCAAAGCTGAACTTGAGTTCATTCACAAATCCAGAACGATGGGGGGAAAAACCCTCCACCTCAGGGGACTGAGGATTGAATGGGGCATGCTTAACTCACTGCAGATGCTAACTTTCTGCCCGCAAGCATTTCTTCTCTCCTCTTTTTGGTTGTTCTCAAGGCACAGCCGACTCATGGCGACCCTGTAGGATTTTCAAGGCAGGAGACGTTCAGAGGCGGTTGTTAGAATATATATCAGCATATATTTATCCTTTTGCTCATAGAACTCCAGAATTATATTTAACAAAGCTATTTCTGGCAACAAACCCACTTCCAAATTCATTATTTCTAATATTATCCTCTGTACCATCCTCCAATAACTATAAACTTTTCCACATCGCCACCATATATGGAAAAAGGTTCCCACATTCATTTTACACTTCCAACAATTTTTGGAGGCCGTTGGTCAACATTTAGCTATTCTATCTGGGGACCAATACCAACGGTGAAATACTTTATAAATATTTTCTTAATACTTAATGGCTCTCAGAGTGGGGAAAAAGTTGAGTTACACATAAAGTAAAGAAAGAAAGAAATATCAGCAGCTGGGCAGGTATCCCTGCTCTACAGGAAATGTTGTTTACTGTGGGGAAGCTTGACTCTTTCTCAGGAGACAGTTATGTTCTGCGTACTCCCTGACTCTTTGCATAGAGGCTGTAGAACTCTCCCCTCATCTAGTAATATCAGCATGGCCCCAACTCTTGAGTGTTAGTGGCGTTAATGTTTTCATTCATTGTTGGCTATTGGGTAAAGTGTCCCATTTCATGCCTGTGACTTACATATCATCAGGTGGCCCCACTGGTGGACCTCCTCATGGCACCTGGGTTTTGGCCACTTTGTGACACAGACGGGGCGTCTCAGCCGGCATTAACTATACCGTGAAACGTGATCACAATCACCTCCTGACTGCGCAGCACATCGCAATACGCCCGTCCACATACAGCGGGTGTCGGCGGGTTTTTTTTAAACTTAGTTTGCGCATGCGCATAGGCAGCCATCCACAGAATGGCGATCTTCGCGCATGCGCAAAACACCCTGTCTTACATTTAAAGTTTAAAGGTAAGGACTTACCTTTAAAGTTTAAAGAGCAAAGTGGCCTCCCTGAGGTCCCGGACTCCTTTAAAAGTTAAACTAAGGACCTTTTCTTTTCTTTTTTAAACAAACACCGGGGCAAAGCTTCCCCCAAGCGCATATCGCCGAACTAAAAAAAAAAAAGGCGAGCGAAAATCGGAAGCCTTGGGCTTCCGAACGGAAGTGGCTCTACAACGTTGGAGAGCGATCAGACAGGGGGTAAAGCAATTACAACCGTTGCACTCAGGATACCACCACTTGGGGACCTAGTGGCAGAATACAACAGTTTAAAGCTCTTTGCAACGGTTAGGGACGGAAGGCAGATGTTCGCCGTGTGAACACCAGTAAGTACACCAATTCCAACCGGCACCTATACCGTTGCAAATGCCCCGTCTGAACGCACCCAGAGTGTTGGACTGGACGGGCCCTTGGCCTGATGCAACATGTTGTTGTTGTTCAGTCGCACAGTCGAATCCGACTCTTCGCGACCCCATGGACCAGATCCTGCCAGGCCTTCCTGTCTTCTGCCGTCCTCTGAAGTTGGCTCAATTTCATGTTCGTTGCATCTATGACACTGTCTAACCATCTCATCCTTTGCCGTCCCTGTCTTCTTTGACCTTCAATCTTTCCCAGCATCAGGGCCTTCTCCAGTGAGTGCTCCCTTCTCATTTGGTGGCCAAAGTATTTGAGCTTCAGTTTCATTATCTGGCCTTCCAGGGAACAGTCAGGGTTGATTTCTTTGAGGATTGACTGATTTGTTCTTCTTGCAGTCCAAGGGACTCTCAAGAGTCTTCTCCAGCACCATAGTTCAAAAGAATCTATTCTTCGGCGCTCGGCCTTCCTTATAGTCCAGCTCTCGCAGCCATACATGACTACTGGGAATACCATTGCTTTGACCATGCGGACTTTTGTTGGCAGGGTGATGTCTCTACTTTTTATCATGCTGTTTAGGTTCGCCATCGCTTTCCTCCCAAGGAGCAGGCGTCTTTTAATTTCATGGCTGCTGTCACAGTCTGCGGTGATCTGGGATCCCAGGAACGTGAAGTCTGTCACTACTTCCACAGCTTCCCCTTCTATTTGCCAAGGAGTGATGGGGCCGGATGCCATGATCTTAGTTTTTTTGATGTTGAGCTTCAAGCCCACTTTTGCGCTCTCCTCTTTTACTCTGAGCAGGAGGCTCTTTAGGTCCTCTTCACTTTCTGCCATTAGAGTGGTATCGTCTGCATATCTGAGGTTGTTGATCTTTTCCCCAGCAATCTTAATTCCCGCTTGTGATTCATCTAGGCCAGCATTTCGCATGATGTACTCTGCATATATATTAAATAAGCAAGGTGACAATATACATCCTTGTCGTACTCCTTTTCCTATGCTAAACCAATCAGTTGTTCCATATCCGGTTCTAATTGTCGCTTCTTGACCCTTATACAGGTTTCTCAAGAGACATGTGAGGTGGTCTGGTACTCCCATCTCTTTAAGGACCTGCCACAAATCCAACATGGCTCCTCTTCAATGCTCCCTTTAAGCTGTGGAGTATTGTGAGCAAAAATTCTCCTTTGTGAGCTACTGGCAGTAAAGTTGTGAGGGAGCGATTCGGCTACTGCATAAATTAGTCTGCCCTGGAGCCCTCCTTCCTGAGCGAAGACAAAAATGTGTGAGCTGGAGGCTAAAAAGCTGTGAGATAGCTCACACTAACTCAGCTTAGAGGGAACACCGCAGTCCTCTTATGTTCTTATGTGGAGGAAGGGAGGCTGTGTTACTATATAAGCACTATAGTCAAATCATTCTCCGTATATATGTGCCGTCAAGTCGCAATTGACTTGTGGCGACCCCAGCAAGGGGCTTCTAAGGCAAGTGAGAAGCAGAGGTGGTTTGCCATGGCCTTCCTCTGCAGAGTCTTCCTTGGAAGTCTCCCTTCCAAGTACTGACCCTGCCTAGCTTCCAACAAGATCGGGCCCTACCATGCCATCTTCCCTCCCCAAATTATTCTAGAGTTTCGTTATTTTTGTAGGACAAATTGCCATGGAGAGCCAGCATGGTATGGTTAAGAACAGCAGACTCTAATCTGGAGAGCTGGGTGTGATTCCCCACTCCTCCACATGAAGCCCTGCTGGGCGATCTTGGGCCAGTCACAGTTCTGTCAGAACTCTCTCAGTCCTCAGTCTCTTAGCTGCCTGTTGTGGGGAGAGGAGGGGAAGGTGACCGTAGGCCGCTTTGAGACGCCTTAAGGTATAGAAAGGTAAAGGTAAAGGTTCCCTTGCTCGAAAGCCAGTCAAATCCGACTCTAGGGTTGCGATGCTCATCTCCGTTTCAAAGCCGAAGAGCCAGCGCTGTCCAAAGACATTTCCGTGGTCATGTGGCCGGCATGACTAAACACCAAGGCACATGGAACGTTGTAAAAACCTACTTTTTGTCATCTTCAAATCGTCCTCTCTGGGAAACTTACCAATATCCCATCCGTGCTGTCTTCACTTTGTAAGATATTGCTCCACAGATCATCTTGCGTGCCCCATGGGTTTCATGCAATATTGGGTACCCACTAGCAATGCTCCCTCTAAGCTGTGCAGTCCTGTGAGCAAAAAAAATCTACTTTGTGAGCTACTGGCATTAAAGTTGTGAGGGAGCGATTTGGCCGCTGTGTGAATTAGTTTGCCCCGGAGCCATCCCTTCCTGAGCAGAGACAAAAATGTGTGAGCCGGAGGCTAAAGAACTGTGAGCTGGCTCACACTAGCCCAGCTCAGGGGGAACACTGCCCACTTGGGTTTGGCCTGTCTCACGCAGTTTCTCTTCTCAGGAAAGGTGCCAATCGCAAGTGCGGGTCCTGAAGATACGGCAACGGGCCCCGTGTCGATGGGCCAGAGCCCGAGTGCCCACAAGAAGGATCATCCCCTCAGCAAGACAAAGTCCTCGGGGCCAGTACGCACCCTCTCGATGAAGATGAAGAAGCTGCCGGAGCTGAGGCGAAGGCTCAGTCTGCGCAGCTTCCGTCCCCGGGGGCAGGAGGCCGAGGGGAGCTCATCCCCCAAGGAGTCGCGCAACGTCATCAGCCGCTACCACCTGGACAGCAGTGTGGCTTCTCGGCATCACCCGAGCCAAGGGGACGGCTTGAGCGATGGCGATTCCCCGGAGCTCCCGGCCAAGACGGACGCACGCTTGGGCCTTGAAGGCGTCTCCTTCCAGCCATACAGATTTGCAGAGCGTCCCGGTTGTCCGCCGCATCTCTCCGGCCTGGTCAGCATCCACCTGCTGGGGGTGCAGGATTTTCGGCCCCCCAGAGCTGAAGCCAAGGAGGTCTTCTGTGCCCTCCAGGTGGACTCTGTCCACAAGGCCCGCACGGCTCTGCTCCCATGCCGGACGGCCTTCCTCAGCCTCAACCATTCTTTCCAGCTGGAACTCGAAGACGCCCGCCTCCTCAAAATCGTGGTCTTCTCCTGCGGTCCTGCAGCGCAGAGGAACCGTGTCTGCTGCTGTGGCACCATCCTTCTTCCCCACGTTTTTCAAGGTAAGGTGAGCCTCAAGAACAGGAGGACATATTGGAGTTAACACACAAGCAGGTGCCGGTGTGATGGAGAGGCAAAAGTCTCTTTCTGTGAGTCCCCAAATCACCTAAAGGCCTGTTTGGTGTGTGTGCAGAACTGGCTAATAGCCCGTCAGGAGTCATTGAAGCTTGAGGGAGCCAGATGGGAGGGCTGAGTGGAAAAGAAAAACCTGTTAAATTCCCAGTTGAGCCAAAGAGGGTTTGTACCTTCATAGGGGATAGACTGGAACAAATCCTTCCTCGGGTGACTTGGTATGTCTCAGAGCCTGGCTTTTGGGATAAAGCAGGCCATCTTCAGTGGAAGAAATCCTTCCTCAGGAGACTTGGTACATCTCAGAGCCTGGCTTTTGGAATAAAAAAGGTAAAGGTAAAGGTTTCCCTTGCTCGAAAGCCAGTCGAATCTAACTCTGGGGGCAGAGTTGTTGCAAAGAACAACAAGACTTCGCCATACGGTGCCTGTTAGGCTAGTCCCTTCCCTTCATTGTATGTGTGGCCCTAGGTAGGATAAGAACATAAGAACATAAGAGATGCCAATGTTGGATCAGGCCAAAGGCCCATCCAGTCCAACACTCTGTATCACACAGTGGCCAGAAATACCAGGTGCCCTCAGGAGGTCCACCAGTGGGGCCAGGACATTAGAAGCCCTCTTACTGTTGACCCCCCCCAAGCACCAAGATGACAGAGAATCACTTGCCCCAGAGTCCCTATCTATACCTTGTGGCTAATAGCCACTGATGGACCTCTGCTCCGTATGCTTATCTAATTCCCTCATGACGCCATCCATGCTTGTAGCTGCCACCACTTCCTGTGGCAGTGAATTCCAAGTGTTAATCACTCTTTGGGTGAAGAAGTACTTCCTCTTATCGGTTCTAACCCGACCGCTCAGCAATTTCATGGAGTGCCCACGAGTTCTTGTATTTTGAGAAAGGGAGAAAAGTACCTCTTTCTCTACCTGCTCTTTCCCATGCATAATCTTATAAACCTCAATCATGTCACCCCTCAGTCGTCGTTTCTCCACGCTAAAGAGCCCTAAGCGCCAACCTTTCCTCATAGGGAAAGTGTTCCAACCCCTTTATCATTCGAGTTGCCCTTTTCTGCACTTTTTCCAAAGCTATAATATCCTTTTTAAGGTGTGGTGACCAGAATTGCACACAGTATTCCAAATGAGGTCGCACCATTGATTTATATAGCGGCATTATGATATTGGCTGATCTGTTTACAATACCCTTCCTAATAATCCCCAGCATAGCATTGGCCTTCTTTATTGCAGTCACACACTGTCTCGACATCTTCAGTGAGTTATCTACTACAACTCCAAGATCTCTCTCTTGATCAGTCTCTGCCAGTTCAGACCCCATCAACGTGTATTTATAGTTAGGATTTTTGGCTCCAATGTGCATCACCTTGCACTTGGCCACATTGAACCCCATTTGCCATGTTGACGCCCACTCGCCCAAAATTGACAGATCCCTTTGGAGTGCCTCACAATCCTCACTGGTTTTCACCACCCTGAACAACTTCGTATCATCCGCAAATTTAGCCACTTCACTGCTTACTCCCAACTCCAAATCATTAATGAACAAGTTAAAAAGCAGTGGACCAAGTACTGATCCCTGCGGTACCCCACTGCTTACCCCCCTCCACTGAGAGAACTGCCCATTTATACTCACTCTCTGTTTTCTATTAATTAGCCAGTTTTTGATCCATAAAAGGACTTGTCCTTTTATCCCATGATTTTTGAGCTTACTTAGGAGCCTTTGATGAGGAACTTTATCAAAAGCTTTCTGGAAGTCAAGGTAAACAATATCTATTGGATCCCCCTTGTCCACATGTATTGTATAATGTATTGTATAATGTATTGTATAATGTATTGTATAATGTAATGTAAACCGCTCAGAGCCCTTAGGGGGTGAGCGGTATATAAATTGAATGGGGAAAAAACCCTAATTGGATGGGTTCATTCGGCCAGAGATGGTTGGCTGGTTGGTGGGTTGGAGAAAAGCAACATGGTAGTCCTTACAGTGAGAGCCAGTTTGGTGCAGAGGTTAGGAGCACGGAGTCTCATCTGGGAGAACCGGGTTTGATTCCCCACTCCCCCACATGCAGCTGCTGGTGTGACCTTGGGTCAATCACAAGTTCTCTCAGAGCTGTTCTCTCAGGAGCAGTTCTCTCAGAGCTCTCTCAGCCCCACCTACCTCACAGGGTGTCTGTTGTGGGGAGGGGAAGGGAGAGGAGGTTGAAAGCCGCTCTGAGACTCCTTCTGGTAGTGAAGGGCGGGGTACAAATCCAATCCCCTCCTCTTCTTCCTCCTCCTCCTCCTCCCCCTCCTCCTCCCGCCTCTCCCGTCTTTCAGGCTCCAGGTCTCAGCAGCTGGCCGTGCAGCTACAGCCGCGGGGACTCCTCTATCTCAAGCTCACCCTCCTGGATCAGCGGGAGCTGGCCAGCAGCGCTCGAGAGCCACAAGTCTTTGGGGTCAAGCTGAGCCAGCTGGTGGAGAGGGAGAGGGCCGCCGTCAGAGTGCCGCTGCTGATACAGAAGTGCGTGGATCAGATCGAGAAACGAGGACTGAAGGTGAGCGGCCCCGCCCGGTCCTGGCAAACCGGAAGATGCGGAATGGGCTGCTAAGGCTGTTGGGAGAAGCATTAGCTGAGCGCCCTCTCTGTCTAGGTGTGTCTGCATGTGTGCCACCTACAGCAGCCTTAGGGGGCTTTCAAGGCAAGGTGGTTTTGCCCTTGCCTGCCTCTGCACAGCAACCCTGGACTTCTCCAGAGGTCTCCCATCCAAGGACTAACCCAGGACGACCTTTCTTAGCTTCTGGGATCTGATGAGACGGGGCTGGCCTGGGCCATTCAGGGCAGGACCTCCGTCTAAGTACCTGGGCCAATTAGGATGGGAGAGGTCTGTCTTCTTCTCTCACCAGACAACAGAATCCCCCATCTTCTCTTGCCTGGAGGGACACCAGTTTGCCCTGGTGACCAGCATTGTTCTGCTTGTAGGTTGTGGGTCTGTATCGCTTGTGTGGCTCCGCGGTGGTGAAGAAGGAGCTGCG